TGGCCCCCCCCCCCCCTTTTTTTTTTTCCCCCTAAAATTAATTGCTTGGGGAGGGGGTTCGGGGGGTAGTAACAACACACCCGGCGGCCCTTTAAATTTGGTTTTCCCCCCCGGGGCTGGCGGTTGGGGTTCGGTTTCAAGTTCCCCAAACCCTTCCTTAAGGGCCTTTTTGCCTTCCGTTCCCTGGGCAGTTTGGGGGGGGGTTTCTTAACCCCCACGGGGGTGGGGTTTTTTCCGGGGGGGGGGGGCAAGGGCGTGATGGAATATTCTTGATGCACAGGAGGTGTCATGCTCCCCCCAAACAGTTGGGGAATCAATGAGACCTATGGATGGATACCATACCTATGTAGAGGGGTTTAGGTGTTGGTCAATACACCGGGGTAGGGGTTATTCCAAGAGGGGGGGGGGGGCACATCACGAAGGGCTGTGATGGAATACCGTGCCACATGTGCTATACTCAAGATAACACAACCCCGGGGCCGACTTTGACAGCTCGACCACTCCGCAGCAGAAGCAGGGGCGATGCCGAAAATGGCGGCATTGGAGCCTCCTGCTTGTCGGGAACGTTTCGAAGGCGTATGTACAATACTATCATTTGGTTTTGGCATGATATCCGTCGCGAAGTAATCGAGCTTTGATCTGTCCACGGAGTGTGGTATCTTGAGTAAGCATCTACCATCGTCTAATGCACAGGAGGCGTCCTGCTCCCCCCCAAACAGTGCGTGGACACTGAAACCAATATACTTTCATGTACGGCACAAGAAGTGATACTAGATTTGGGTTGTGGCTGACTATGCACCGGGGCAGGCGGACGTTCAGGAGGGGAGCGGGACACACACGTACACGTACGGGCGAGCAAGAGGCCTGGTTGAATGTAAGCGAAAGGTCCCATGCCCGCAGACTGCGAAACGGTTTCTGAAGGCGGAGGTCATGGTGGTAGGGTGGTGGGTTGCTGCAGGGTCACCCGTTGCGAGGCAATCAAGCCCATGTCCAGCTTGGGCAACATCGATGTGATATTATGGGCTGTTTAGGATTTGTGTGTCATTTCCCAGTTGTATTCTGGATGTCTCAGTATGTTCACCTTTCGGTATATTAGGATGCAAGCAGAAAATAACAAAGCAAGCACACGTTGGTTTTGCAATACACAGCAACACACGGCTGAGATAAGGCTGAGTGAAGCACGAAAGGTCGGGGAGGGAGATTGTACCATGGCGGGGTCGTGATAGTTTGCTTTCGCTCCTACAGGTGTGTGTGTGTACACAATGTACCAATACAGTAGAGCACGCGGTGTATCGCACTTGTCAACACGAAAGTGGAGGTACGTACTTTTGACCACGAAACAGTACCATCGTCAACACTGCTTTCATTGCAATAAGCAAAAGTCTTCGAAGTTACGTGGGGAGCGTGGGGGGGGGGGGGGTCTGATTTGCATGCTGTGCTTTCTACCAAGGTCTGAATGCAAGGAAAAGAGGTGGCGGCATAATGGTACCTTCAGGGGAACCTTATTAAAAAATGGTACGCTCAGTTTCAAGAGAGTATTACATTTATTAAGACTTGATGCTGGTGTTTCCATTCTTTTGGCACGCACAAACGAAAGCCGTAAATTGTCCACCAGACATGCAACCTATGGTACATGTTGTACTGTAGTGCCTCTGCCTCACCTCCATGACCTTTCTCAAGCGGCCCATCGCCAGGCCTTCCCGCTCTCGCGCTTGCGCTTCCGTCGCAACTGCTCGGTCCACTTTTTTCTGCCCAAATTCAAAACCCACACACAGGCAGGGAGAACAAAATGAAAAAAAATAGAGGGCGCAGTTAAGTGTCACCCAACAAGAGATTAAAAGAACATGCCACAAAACCTTTATCAAAAAAGAGGACGGGAACCACCAGAGACATGCCGATGTGAATGGAACCATGAACAAAGTCACCGTCACGACCTTGGACCGAACAATTCTTCTGCCGCCTTTTCTTCAGAGACGTAAAATTCTCGATTGACCCGGGGTACATGGGCCAACTCAACAATTAACTCTCTTGCATGTCCACCCAGAGTAATTCATATGCTGCCACCGACAGAAAATACTTATACATATATTGACATGGATTTGTATGGGTTAATTAATTTTTGAATTTTTGGCAGACGACAATCAAAATTATTGGGGTGGTTTATTCATTTCCTAGTTTTGGCAGGGCATATAGTCAATATTCTCCAGCCCTTCTGCAGCTGGCTAAAAGCAGAGAACAACACCAACCCAGCGACCCACCTGTATGACCGCCAGCTCCTTGAGAAGCTTCGTCGACTCATTTCGGTGATTTTCCGTCCACCGCTGGAACTCCGCGGCGTCGCCCGCCATCGCAGCTTTGCAGGAAGCTGGCGCGGTGCGGGATAAGGAGGAGGAGGAGGAGGAGGAGGAGGGGTTGGGGGGGCACTTGCTTGAGTGGATCGTTTGAGCGAGCGCGCTCCGCAGGAGTGCGTACTTATGTAAACGCATGCCGTAGTCGTCCGGGCATTGACCTCGCATCCCGACAACAGAGCGGAGCGGACGGAGCGGTATGCCGGGTTTTCGCCGGCCGAGGCCAGGGGGGGTACACACGTCGCAGCCAACGCGCTCGGGAAATCGCCCGTCAGGCTTAGTGGGGGGGAAATACCACTACATAACCGTGAAGAGAACACACACGTCGCACAATTTTGTGTTTCTAAGGTTAAGGTATACCTATTTCTCGACGGGCGTCGGCTAAGTTGTCCCCCTCCTCCTTCAGCAGCGCCTCTAGCCGCTTCACCCTCCTCGCGTGCAAGCCCCTGAGCTTGTCGATGTCCTTGCGGGTGGCCTCGCCCGCCGACTCCGCCTCCGCCTTTGCTTCCCGCAACTTGAACCAGAATTGCGTCATGGCGGCCGTAGCA